TCACAATCATTGCCATATTTGAGTCCATTGTTGCAGCTACTGTGTCAATCCATCTTATTGAGGATCTTCCTCTTTTTTCTATAAACCCACTGCCATTGAGTCAATTCTGAATCATGGCAAGTCTATAGGACAGAGTACAACTCCACAGGGTTTCGAAGGCTGTAAATCTTTATGGAAGCAGACTGCCTCCTCTTTCCTCCTTTGGAGTGCCTATTGAGTTTGAACTGCCAACCTGTTGGTTAGCAGCCTAATGCATTAACCATTGTGCCATCAGTGCCCCTACTTTTTCATATAGATGAGAGGAAATGTTTGCTGGCTGGCTGGTTGATTGGTTGGATGGATGGATGACTAGATTAGATGAATGGGTGGATAGATGGGTAGATGGATAGGTAGTTGAGTATGTGGATGGATGGATAGATGGATGGATGGATGGGTGGATGGGTGGATGGGTGGATGGAGAGAGATAGACAAGATCCAATCCCTGCCCTAAATGGTTCCCATTCTAACTGGGGAACAAATGCAGAGCTATATAAACAACATAAGGTAGCAAGGGCTGCAAACTATCAATCAGCACAAAGTGCAGGGCAATTCCAAGGGGAGATCACTCCTGCCTCCAGGCACAGACGAAAGCTTTAAGGAGTTGGAGACATTTTAGCTGGACCTTGGGAGGAGAGTAGTTGAGATGAATACAAGGAGAAGTGTAACACTTAATGACAAGGACAGCAAAGACAGGAGTGAACAGGCACACTGTATTTAGAGAAATACTCTGTGGTCTTAATTGGTGAAGTGTAGAACAAATAGAAGCTCTGGTGGTGCAATTATTAAGCACTCAGCTGGTAACCAAAAATCAGCCATTTGAACCCATCAACTCCTTGGTGGAGAAAAAGCCCTGGTGATCTACTCCTGTAAAGATTATAGCCTAAAAGTTATGAAAACTTCTTAGCCATAACCAAATTCCTGGAGGGAATGAGTTGCTGGGCATGGGGGCTCAGACCCATAGTCTATGAGGACACTAAGGTAAATTGGCATAACATAATCCACAAAGACAATGTTCTACATCTTACTTTGGTGAGTAGTGACTGGGGTCTTAAAAACTTGTAAGTGGTCATCTATGGTGCAGCTCTTGGTATTTCTCCATCCAGAGCAAAGAAAAGTGAAGAAACTCAAAGACTCATGGAAACAATAAATTCAAAGAACTAATGGCCCATGTGAGCCTTAGCCTCCACAACCCTGAGACCAGAGGAACTAAATGGTGCCCAGTTATCACTGGTGACCACTCTGAAAGGGATCACAATAGGAGATCCTGGATAGAGTAGGAGAAAATCATAAAAAAGATGGTCTGATTTTTTATCAGTCTGATCAAGACGGGTGGAATCCCTGAGACTATGACCCTTAGATGCCATTTAAGCCTGGAGCTGAACTAACTCTCGTGGCTCAACTTTCAGCCAAATGATGAACAGCCTATAAGATGAACAATAACATCAGGGAGGTACGCACTGATTAGAACAGTCAACCATACAAGATGAAAAAGGCATCATTCACACAGGAATAAAGCTAAAAAGGCAGGAAGGGATAGGAAAGAAAGATGAAGAGAAATGGTAAACACAATGAGGAAGTGGGAAGAGTGCCGTTACATTGTGAGGATTGCAGTGAATGTCACAAAACAAAATGTATATCAAGTGTTAAATGGAAAACCAATTTGCTCTGTAAACTTTCACCCAAATCATAAAAGAAAAAAAGCCATTTCCAATGCGGGGGTGGGGGGGGTGGGGAGATTATAGCCTAGGAAACCCTATGAGACAGTTCTATGCTGTCCTGTAGGGTTGCTAGGAATCAGGATTGACTTGATGGCAGTGGGTTTTTGGTATTCATATACTTTAAGAAATATTACATTTGAGCAATTTGCCAGTATATTGATCACATATTATTCTACGATTAAAGTTCGTAATAAAAATTACTAAGAATTCTGTATGTTCTGGAACAGAAAGAGGTCCATGAGGGGTGTGGCTCCATGAGTTACTGCACTGGGTGATGCCAACCCTAGTGACACCACTGCTGTAAAACCCTATGGAGCAGTTCTACTCTGCACACATGGGGCTGAGTCAGAATTGACTCAACAACAACTAACAACAAAAATAACAAGTTCTTAAGAAATATTTCTTGACTAGAACAGAGGGAGCAAGGGAGGGAAGGAGGGGTAAAGGGAAAGTAAGAGAGAGGAAAAGGAAAGGGAAGGGGAGGGGAGAGGTGAAGAAGGGGAGGGAAAGGAAGGAGAGAGGAACTTCTCATTATATGAGAGGTTGCTCCATTCAGGTTTGAAAACCCCCAAGCATGAGCTAACAAGACAATCAATGCAAAAATACCTGGCTGTTAGGGAAATTCAGACAACTTTGAGCAGAAATAGGGACTCTCAAAAAGATACTTTGGCTGCTACCCCCTCCAAAGTTAATTAAGTGTGGTTGTGAGACCCATGCTGTTTGGGGTATTTATGTAATGAAAAGATCTTCTAAAAATAATACCCAGAGGTCCAGCTTGAGAGGCCCATGGCTGAGCCAGCTGGAGCAGCAGAAGGTGATGGGCCGTGATCCCAGCATCCACACAGTGGTTATGATTAAATGAGGCTTCTCATATTCAGGTTGCAAAACCGCTCCAGGCAGGAGCCCAGGAGAGGCTTAATTTACGTCACATGGAGATTAGCTTGCTTCTGAGAAGGGTTCCACTGTCAACTCAATTTTTGTGCACACTCCATGACCTCAGGAAATCGCCTGCTAGTTGCTCTCTGAAAAATCAGGACCAGCTTTTGTGAAAGGGTCCAAGGACTGAGCCAGGGCTTAGCTTGCTTTTAATCAGTAGGAAGCAGAGTATCACTGCTAGGATGAGATCTTTAGAGACATTGATGCTTCAGTGGTAGAATCCTTGCCTTCCATGCTAGAGACCCTGGTTCAATTCCTAGCCAATGCACCTCATGTACAGCCACTGCCCATTTGTCAGTGGAGGATTGCATGTTGCTACGGGCAGAACAGGTTTCAACAGAGTTTCCAGATTGAGACAGACTAGGAGGAAAGGCCTGGAGATCTACTTCCAAAAATCAGCCAATGAAAACCCTATGGTCCAATCTATAACTGAGCACAGAGTTGGTGCAGGGTTGTGCAGCCTTTTGTTCCAATGTGCATGGGGTTGTCATGAGTCAAGGGCCAACTTGACAACAGCTAGCATCAGGGGTTTTTATTTAACCAAGAGCCATTGTGTGTGCAGCTATTTTATTAAAGTGGATTTGCAGTGGGAAGAAGGAAGGAAAGAATGAACTGAAAACCACTTGACCACCCATGATGGGGGAAGTTGAAGTAAATTGTGACCAGCCCTTCTGCTTTCCCATGGAGTGTTAGGTAGTCATTAGGAAGGGTGAGTGATTTCTAAACCAGCTGACCTGGATAGGAAATCACAAAACAAAACAACCACAACAATAGCAAACAAGTCTAGTCTATTCCGATTCATGGCAGTCCCATGTGTTTCAGAATAGAACTGTGCTCCATAGGGTTTTCATGGCTATAACTTTTCAAAAGCAGATTACCAGACCTTTCTTCTGAGGTGCTTCTAGGTGGGTTCAAGCCATCACCTTTTCAGACAGTTAAGCCAAGTGCTTAACTATTTGTGCCCCCAGGGTCTCCTAGGAAACCACAATGTGCTGCTAAAACATGCTATGGAAAGGAAGATTCCAGATGTGTTTAGAGTGGGGGTGATGGGACACCAAGGGACTAGATTTGTAGAGCCTTTGAGCTAAGGATGACTTTTACATTTTTAGATTATTGGGAGGAAAATCAAAAGAAGAATAACATTTTGTGACAAGTGAAAACTATATGAAATGCAAATTTCAGTCTTCATAAATAAAAGTTTTATTGGCACACAGTGACACCCATCCATTTGCATGTTGTCTCTGTCTGCTTTTTTGTCAAGATGGCAGAGTACTCACAACAGAGACCATATGGCCTGCAAAGCAAAAAAATTCACTATTTAGTCCTTTTCTAAAAAAGTTTATTGACCCCTGGTTTAGAGCATGGTGATGCTTTGTAAAACAGCAGTGACAGACATCATTCCAAGTGCTTTGCAAGAACACCTTCATTGCATTTATTTGTTCATTCATTCATTTTATCATTTATTCATCAAATGCTTAATACTTACGCACTGGGCACTGACAGTGAACAAGCAGACATGGCTCTTGTACTCCTGGAGCTTACAACCTGTGTCTAGATCTTTCTCTTTCCAATATAAACATTCCTAGTCCCTCCAACTGTTTTCACAAGACTGGTTTTTAGGGCCCTTGCAGCCTGCTTCTCTTCCTCTCCCTGACTATGTATCCCAAAGGCTTTCATCCCTCCTGTGGAGGGTGCCCACAATGGCCCCTAGACCTCCTGGTATCTCACAAGGAGATCAAGTTCTAGAAGGACTAACCTTGAAATGGACCATGCTGTCAGTCTGGCTTCAAAGTGCTCACCATTCAACCTTTCCATTTGCAGCCCCAGCTCTCCAGTGTCCCCTGAGAGGGGAAGTACCCCAGTCCTTGACTCTCTTCATGTGGATGAGAACAGGCACCAGCTATGAAGAAGGATGCAACCATGTCTTCACATGATCCCTCCTGCAAAAAACCAAAGTCACCTCCAGACACATGTCCCAGTGCTTGAGTCTCTATATAATAGTCCTGGGAGGAAGCCGGCTCTTCATGGGATGATGTGAAAACTGGTGTTTGAGCCACGAACCTGGCTTCAAGACCTTCCTTTATTGCTCTTCGTCCATGTTCATGCCCAACACCTCATAGCAGAATGCTTTATTTATTTCTAGAAAAACCACATTGTGTCCTTCTTTAAAGATCCCCCAAATCTGAACCCTTTCTTTTGGCTCTTTTGGAACCCTGGGGCCCAGTGATTGGCATAATTGATACTTCGGGGAGCTGAGGAGAAGCAACCTTTGTCTGTGGTCTGGGAAAGGCACTGTAGGGCTCCAGGATGGAGCTCAGAGATGCACCCTCTTCCACCGCATGGAAGATCACCATTATTGTGGTCCTCGTGGCCCTTATCTTAATCACCATCGCCGGCAATGTGGTTGTCTGCCTGGCTGTGGGCTTGAACCGCCGGCTCCGCAATCTGACCAACTGCTTCATCGTGTCCTTGGCCATCACTGACCTGCTCCTTGGCCTCTTGGTGCTCCCTTTCTCTGCTATCTACCAGCTGTCCAACAGTTGGAACTTTGGCCAGATCTTCTGCAACATCTACACCAGCCTGGACGTGATGCTCTGCACAGCCTCCATCCTCAACCTCTTCATGATCAGCCTTGACCGGTACTGTGCCGTCACAGACCCACTCCGCTACCCGGTGCTTGTCACCCCCATCCGAGTCGCCATCTCTCTTGTCTTCATTTGGGTTATCTCCATCACCTTGTCCTTCCTTTCTATCCACCTGGGGTGGAACAGCAGGAACAAGACTAGCAGTGGCAATCACACCACATTAAAATGCAAAGTCCAGGTCAATGAAGTATATGGCTTGGTGGATGGGCTAGTCACCTTCTACCTCCCTCTCCTCATCATGTTTATCACCTACTATCGCATCTTCAAGATTGCCCGGGATCAGGTCAAGAGAATCAATCATATCAGCTCTTGGAATGCAGCCACCATCAAGGAACATAAAGCCACAGTGACCCTGGCCACTGTGATGGGAGCCTTCATCATCTGCTGGTTCCCCTACTTCACTGTGTTTGTTTACCGTGGGCTCAGAGGGGATGAGGCTGTCAATGACATCATTGAAGCCATTGTTCTGTGGCTAGGCTATGCCAACTCAGCCCTGAACCCCGTATTGTATGCTGCATTGAACAGAGACTTTCGCACTGCATACCAGCAGCTCTTCCGCTGCAGATCCACCTGCCACAACTCCCATGACACTTCTTTGAGGTCCACCAACTCTCAGAAGTCCAGGAGCCAGAACAGAGAGCACAAGGGGCAGGAAGAGAAGCCCCTGAAGCTACAGATGTGGTGTGAAATTGAGGTTACTGCCCCACAGGGAGCCACAGACAGGTAACAACCCAAGCCATTTATGTGGGGGAGGCTCAGAACAGGGGCATGGAATGGAGGGTCCCCTTAATGGAGGGTAACCATGATGATGAGATGGCTGAGTTCACATGGCATCAGCTACATGCTGGGCAAGCATTTTCACCAGCACTTGGCAAACTTTGTCTCCTTTAGTCCTCACAAGAGCCCCCTAAGGTAGAACTTTTATCTCTTTTTAGAAGGAGTGCATTGAATCTCAGAGAACTTGGCCAGTTTCACATAGCTGGCACCTGGACAGAGGTCTCTGGACTCTAGAAACTCTAGGCTCTTCTTTCTAGATATGTATCCTAACCATCAGGAGTCCTAAGTTTGAAGTCCACCTCTGATGCTTCTTGGTCATAAGTGGTCACCTAACCCCCTCTAAGATAGCTCTCAAATGCCACCAGTTCCCTGCAGGTCAACTCTGACTCCTGGTGACCCCATGTGTGTCATATTAGAAGTGGAGTCCATAAGGTTTTCAATGTCTGGCTGCTTCTTGGAAGTAGATTGACAGGCCCTTTTTCCAAGGCACCTCTGGGTAGAGTTGAACTACCAACCTTTTGATTAGTAGCTAAGTGTGTTAACCAGTTCACCACCCAGGGAATCCTCAGCAGTCAGGTAGCCATGCACTGATACTACCACTTGGTGGGGGTATTGTAGGGATTAAAGGAGAAATTCAGTTGTGTTCAGCATTTATTAAGCATCTACTATTTGTCAGCTCTTATCTTAGGGAAACCCAAATCAGATAGAGGATTGGCAGACTCAGAAGGGTCTTGAACACTAACCTAAGGATTTGGCCATTATTATTGTAGATCTTAGGAAAATATTGAAGACTTAGAGCCACTCCTCAGAAGGAAGACTGGACAGTCTACTTTTGTAGAAATACCACCTCGAAAACCCAAGGAGAGGTCACTATGAGTCAGACCATCTTAATGGCAGTGAGTTTGGTTTTTTGGTTTTTAGCAAGGAGGAAGGGGAACATCAGCAGATCTGTTCTATAGAAAGAGGGCTCTGGTTGCAGCTAAGACTGCAGACAAGGATGTTGGTGACGGGGCCCTAGTCCATGGAGAGAAGAATAGAGCAAAATCTAAAAGGCTTGGAGCCCTATTGGATGTACAGGGTGCAGGAGATGCAAGATAGGTGGGTACCCTGGGGTTCCACTTCCAAGAATGTCCAGGTTGAAAAGATAAAGAGAATTCAATGAAACTTAGATGAACTCACTGGTAACAAGGCTGATGCTGTGCACAAAGGGAAACTACACCAAATATTTGAGGCACCTTGAGGAACCTTACTCTATAGAAAGGCAGATGTAAACCTTAGCTGTTGAGGACCATGCAGAAAAGAAGCATGCTGGCAGGTAGAAGTTGCTCAATAAATGCTTGCTTCCTTTCTCTTCCCACAGACCATACTTTTGCCCCATAGAATGTTAGTCTGGTGAACTGATGCATTCCATCCATCCACCCACCATTCCTTCATTCAGCAAACATTTGTCAGATGGCCATGACATCCCAGGACCTGTGCTGAGCACCAGGGGTGTAGAAATGACATATTTGGGTTTATTGTAATATAGTAAACAGTTTTGCAAAGTCAATGGTTGTAACCCTGGCTTCAGCTTTGCCCTTACTTGTTCAGTGACTCAAGCAAGTGCCTGCTGCACTAGGGCCTCTGTTTTCTCCTCCCAAAGAGTGTTGGGTCTGCCCCATGCAGCTTACCCTTCAGAGTTGCTGGAATTGAGGAATGTGAACAGCTCTGTGACTCCCAGATGGATCACAGAGCTCTGGTGGAGTAGTGCTCATAAGCATGGGGCTCAAGAAACACCCAGAGAGACGTGGCAGGTCTGCACCCTCGGGTCTGGGTTCTCATCTGAGAGTTGCAGGGTCTGGTACCCTGGGCCCATATCCCCTCCAGTCTTTGCAGTTGCCACCCCTATCCCCAAACCAAATGTGAAGTGCCCCCCGCACTCCCCACAAATTTGGGCCCAGGACCTATGTCCCTCTGCACTATCTCTCTGGAATAAGCCTCATTTCTCCTGCACCCCAACTGTTGCCTCACCTTCTACCTGACCTTCCAGCCTCTCAACCCTCCTTCTCAAATCCATCTTCCAAGCTGCCTACAGGTGTTTTTCCAAAATTCTTATATGGACACTTCCACTTCTGCTCATAATGAATAAATAACCTTCTGACCATGTCCTTCCACACGCTTTCATTCAGGAAGCAGACTCAAGTGCAAAGCTAATTTAGTTTAGTAAGGAAAAAAAAAAAAAAAAAAAAACAGGTCATGGATCATATCCAAGGAATCAGCTGACAGAATTCAGTGGAGTATGTATATCATTCACTTGAAACATGACTTTGTGCTGCTTTTACCTGTGGAACTCCTGGGTTAATCAGCTGCCTTCTAACCCTAGTCATTAGGGAAAGTCATTCATTCAGTAAGCACTAAACAGCAACACTGATGATGATAGCTAACACTTACTGAGCACCTCTTATTTGCCAGTTTTATCTTCTTTGACTTGGTTTATATGTATTCCTCATTCTGTGAGGGCATCCTGTTCCCCTCTGTGGCAAGTGCTAAGGGTACAAATGGAGATATAACAAGCCCCCTGGCCGTGCCACCACTTTTACCACCTATAATTGTCCCAGGCTAGTGGGGAGAGCAGACAGGTCATGGTTCAGTGCAGCACATGTCAGGGATTGAAAACCAGTGCCCTGGGCACCCAGATAAGTCCATGCTTGGCCCAGAGAGCTGTCCCAGAGAACAGACCCCTGTACCTTAAATGAAGTGAGACAAGACCTGTTCATCCAGGGTGCTGCTAGGCCCTGAGATTCATGGCCTCATTTCATTCACAGCATAACCCTGTGAAGTAGGTACTTGTTTCATCCCTGCTCTATAGATGGGAAATTGAAGCTCACAAAAATGAAGTATAGTAGCTCCCATTATCCACAGTTTTGCTTTTCATGGTTCCAGTTATTCAGAATCCACTGTGATCCAAAAATATTTTAACTGTGCACTGTTCTGAGTAACATAATGAAATCTTGTGCCACTCTGCCCCACAGTTGGTTTCCTCCTCCTCCACTGGGTATGAGCCTGGAAAACACAGTTGGGTGAACAGCTATGCCAGGCCCTACCATCATCTGATGGATTAACACTGCTTTCCCAGGGCACCCTGAGAACCCATTGTTTGTATATATAGGGAAAAACATAGTATATATAAGGTTTGGTACTATCTGTGGTTTCAGGCATCTACTGGGAAGGGCAGAGGGGATCTTGGAGTGTATCCCCTACAGATAAGGGAGACTACTATGACTTGCCACAAGTGACACAAGCTTGTAAGTAAACCAAAGCCAGGATCTGAGCAGTAATAGCAGCCCTTGTTGAGGGTCCTTTGGGTGCCCACATATTGAGGGGTATGAACCATGGCCCTGAGTGAGGTGGTGAAGAGAACTGTGAAGTAACTGAGGCTAACAGAGGGGCAATGCCCACCAGATCACATAGCAGCTGCAAAGCCAAGACCAGAGAACACATCCACCTGCAGCAGGCTATCCTCCAGACCCCAGGAGCAGAGGCCAGAGAAGGAAGGGAGAACCATTCAGCCTCGAGGGTCTCACACTATGGCTGTCTGTGGGGGACAGAGAGGCAGTACATGAGTCCCAGAACTGTCCCAGGTTGATTTCCCCCTGAGGCTGCCAGTGAGTATGTCCCTGGATAAGATCAGTGTGTTAGGCTGGGTTCTCTAGAGAAGCAAAACTAGTCAAGCTTATATATACATACAGAGAAAGAGAAATTGATCTTAGGAAAATGGCTCACACACTTATAGAAGCTGGGAAGTCCCAAGTTCTTGGATCAAACGTCAAGCTAGAGGCTTTTCGCGACTCACGCAGTTGCAGGGATTGGCAAGCTCAAGTTTGGCAGGCAGTATACTGGCTGTTGACTCCAATGAATGACGAATCCAAGATCTCCAGAATGAATGCTGGGTTGTTCGCTCATGGACAGTTGTAGCCAGCACATCAGGATTCCGATCCACCGAAGAGTGTCTCTTTTCCCAGGATGTCCATAAATATATTGGAAGCAGGCCACACCCCTAGACAAACTCCGTTTCAATAGATTGGCTGCTCAAAACCTATACATCCGATCCCATCATGGGAATAACCCACATCACAATTGCTTAACCACACAGAATTGTAGTCCAGCCAAGTTGACACACAGCTCCAGCTATCACAGTCATCTCCCAGCTTCTCAACCCACTGATAGTGTGTCCCTCCTGCTTTCTGTTTGGGACAAGAGCCAGGGCCATCCCAGAGCCCTTATCAGTGCCAGGGGTAGAGTGTCTGCTTGAACTGAGAATTCTGAAGAGGAGAGATCAGATCTGCCCTGAATAGAGTAGGGGCTCCAGAGAAGAAATTGGCCGAGCTGGTCCATCCTCCCTTTCCTTCCCTGCAACTGACCAGCAACCACATCTGTGTGAATCTTTGCTGATTCTCCCCCTAAATGATACTCTGTCTGTCCCCTCTTGACCCTAGTGCTCCATCTTCTTTTGACCCCAATAAGCTTCACCAGCCTTTTCACTAACCCCTCTGCCCCCAGTGCTCCTTCACTCAATGAGTTTTCTAAAACATGGATCTCACAAAGACACCTTGCTCAATAACCTCCGTAGCTTCTTATCACCACTGGGTATGGTCCTGTGTTTGTATCCTAACCAGTTCCCATGTAGTCAGTTCCAGCTAATGGCAATCTCATGTGTATTAGAATAGAACTGTGTTCCATAGGGTTTTCAATGACTGATGTTTGGAAGTAGATAGCAAGGCCTTTCTGGGTAAACTCAAACCTCCTGCCTAGCACGAGATTTAACAGCCTAGCATGTCAACTGTTTGCACCACCCAGGGCTTTAATTAGTGTCCTAGTGCTGCTGTACCAATTGCCACACACTGGGTGGCTTAAAACAGAACACATTTATTCCCCTATGATTTTGGAGGCCAGAAGTCTAAAGTCAAGGCA